GAGACACCAGACACGTTGCAAGCATGGATCATCCCTGGCAGGGAAAAAATCAATCTTTCAAATTTTGTTTCAATACCAAATCTATTTTGTGACTTTATAGATGTCTCCTTACATCCTTTGTTTTTATTGTTTTGGCTGTTCTAAGGTGTATTTGTGGCTTCTTGTAAATGAAGTTTAGGGGAACATGATTTCTATAATTATTAAAATAACTACTTGGTTTTCTTTTATTTTTTGTGACAAGTGAGTCATAAATAAAGAGAGCAGGAACTTAAAAATACTAACGGACCAATGCATATCCTAGGGAGTAAAGTACATTATTTTCCATACCATTTCATTAACAAAGTATACGTGAATGTGCTAAAAGATGGCAGTCACTGTCAATGAGCAGAGATGTGCTCATAGGTGATAATAAAGAGGTTATGTAATATACAGTGATAATACATATGCCACTGAGGTCTGTAATATATATACTTTTTTAAAATAAAAAAAGAGTATATTTTCTTTTTTCTTTGTTCTTTTGTATTTTACCCTATACAGATAGTCTTGCTTCCATCTAGGAAATACAATGATTTGGGCTTATCTGGAAGAACAGAATGCTGAGCATGCACCCCCCTTCATGCTGTGCCAGAACACTAAGGTGCAGTATTTTATTTCGATGCAATCTTATACATGATTTCCCATTCTGTATTTCAGATTGTCAATGGGTATTTTGTGCATTACTTTGCACCCCATGAAATGCCAGTGTTTCCCAAAAACGTCATCTTCGTTATAGATCGAAGTGGCTCCATGACAGGCAGAAAAATTGAACAGGTAACTTACCTCAGAGTCCTGACTTCTGCTTGCATCAGTGACACACACCAGCCTTTTGAGGAGGTGACTCTGAATTTAGCTTTTGAAACACGTGCTGGTTTTGTACACAGCAAAATTTCCAGGCCTATAGAAATGCTTGAGAATACGTACGCACAGACTGAGACTATTAAAGAGCAACTCTCTTCTGCTATGGCTGTTCTCACAGGTATCAAACATTAAGGCAGAGAGCACTTTTTCTGTCTCTATCGTTGCAGAGTATTTTGCTTCTAATTTTTTTATATAATGAAGTTTAAAGAATTAATTTGTCTGGTTTACCTTTATTGATGGCTATGCACGTAGCTTTGCTAGAGCACAAAGTGCACTACAACCCTCATAGGTAGGTTTTTGTGTCTGTATTTTAAGTGAATCGGCCATTTCTGATGGACTCAACCTGAAAAAATACCACTGAGATTAAATAAGGGTATTGGGCTGCATCTTGAATAGTGTTGTAGAGAAACCCCTTATTACACTGTAATTCCAATCTCAGCTCTGGCAGAAAAGTAGAAATATTCAAAGTATTTGTTTTCTCCTTGGAACAGACGAGGGATGCCCTGTTGAAGATTTTGCAAGATCTCCGCCCAGAAGATCATTTCAGCTTTATCACCTTTAACAACAAAGTGGTGGAGTGGAAGAGCTCTTTGCTGCAAGCCACTGCAGAGAATGTGGCGAGTGCTGCAGGATTCGTGCAAACTCTTTCTGCTAGTGGAGGTACAAGGCACTGCCTAGATGCTTGTCACCACAAACATGCACCCAATATAACATATTGCTTAGGAAAAAAAAATAATTAAAAAAAAAAATATCTTTTAGTCATATGTTACCACAGAACTATCATCAGTGCTCACAAAGCAGGTAAGTTTTTAGTACTTGTGAGTGATGAGTGAGATAGAAAGGCTGGTTATGGGAGTGGACGGATTGGTGGCTACATTATGATACAGATATATAGAGGTATGGTTCTCACATCTATGAACTGAACAAGCCACCAAGTTTCAGCTTTTTATAACAAAAATGGCTGGCAGATTTCCTGATAGTATAATTTTTTCTACAGAAAAATGGCAATTCACTCAATTTGGCAGCAATTTGCTGATTTTTTTTTTTTTTTTTTTAATAGCAAAAGCCCCCTTGTGAAATAAAATGCATCCAAAGCTTACTGCCATGTAAGCCACACTACAGAAACTAAACAGTCAAAATAGGTGTGAAGCATTTCGGTTGCTGCATCACTCAGTGCACTTTATTTTATGATGTGGTTTTAAGCACACCCACAAGGCTGTATCTCCTGTATTAACATAGGTTTTCGTATCCCAGGTGCTAACACAAATAAAGCCTGCCCGTGCCCAGTTCTTTTCTTTGGCTTCTCAAATCAGGCTAGGAGACGTTTCTTAAATGTAGGTTAACAGATGACAGTGTGTTTATTTAAGCACTTTTTAATGGCTCTAGACATGTTTGTATTTCCCATGACGTATGTGTGGAAAATGGTCCCTAAAGAATACTCCAGCATTGCCATTGCAATATAATACACTGTAATTAAACCCAGTAGGCTAAACCTAAATCCTCATCTCTCTGAAGGATTACTTCCTGGAGAAAACTTTAAACAACTCTGCAGGGCCTGTGCAGATGAAGTGCACCGGTTTCTTCAGATGATTATCCTTTTCAGGTGAGTGATGCCTGCTTTCTCATTATAGGCACCAATATCAATCGTGCCCTGCTGACTGCTGTGAGCGTGCTGGATAAAGCTGAGGGGCTGCCAGAGAGGAGCGTCTCCATGATTATTTTGCTGACAGACGGCCAGCCCACTTCTGGTGGGTAAATACTAACCTCAGTCCTCTCTCTCCTTGAATATTTTTATCTTTTACACTTGTGTCCCAGACGTTGTTAGACAGAGTCTGTGGTTTAGAGGAGCTTTGATATAAGCAAGGTGGGCTATTGCTGGATCTACTTTAGAGCAATGATGACTATGAGAGGGCTGTGGCAAGGGCTGTAAGAAGGGATGGCAGAGCCTGACTGCCTGTGACTACACGTCCTTTAGCTGGGAACTATTTTGCTAAATACCATTGGCTTCCCAGTTTATAAACTAGAGGGAATTGTTGGAGATGCTCCAGACACAGCTGAAATGTGAAAGTAAAATCCTTAGAGCTGAAGCATGGACATTTTGCATATGTTATGTATAGTCCCATTTGAGAGGTATTGCTTATATTTCTTCACTCTCCTTGCCCCAAACTTGAGATATTTTCAAGTTACCTCGTTTTGTACTCTTTTTTGTATCTAGCTCTTAATTAGTGATGAGCTGTGATAGCACAAACCAGAGGGGTTGAGATAGAAGTATTGGGTTAAATAAACAGTAACTCCCAATGCAATGGCACAAACATCACTTGTTCTGGACAGTTTTGTGTGGCACCAGCATCTCTCCAAGGCCAGCCCATATTAAATCAGCTGTGAGCCCTCTAATAAGATCAGTCCTTTTGCCCTAAAAACCTCTTCTGGCACCCATAATCTTGTGAAATATTTTGTGCTTAGCCATGATGACATGAGTAGAAGTTGGTAAAAGTCATTAAGGTTCAGAATCAAGTTCTGGCACTCCAAATGCAGAGCAGTGCTTTCACCTCCAATTCAGCTAATGGAATTATGTCCCATATATTTTTAATATTTTATTCTGTGTTATTTTTAAAAGACTTTGGGCAGAATTTTCCATTAAACCTGCTGCTGTCTTTTTGTACTTTAAAAAAAACAAACAAGGGTATGTTTTTGTTTCGATTACAGGTGAGAGTAATGTGGAAGTAATTCAAGAAAACATTCAGAAAGCAGTCAATGGGAAATACATTCTTTTCTGCCTTGGCTTTGGGTTTGATGTCAGTTATAATTTCCTGGAGAAAATGTCCCTAAGCAATGGGGGAATAGCACGTCGTATATATGAAAACGCTGATGCAGCCTTGCAGCTCCAGGTGAGGACTAAGGAATATGCCAGAAAAGCCATCTATCAGCTATGGCTTGTGTCTAGTCTTAGCAGCAAAAACACAGATTTTTCGAGATTAGGAGTTGGTTTTGTGTTCATCTGTTAATTTGGGGGATGGAGGAAGGCAATTTTGGGGTGTCTAAGGGTTTGTACCCCAACCATGACTCAAAGTTGAAGTTCTCAAATCATCTGCATTTGGACAAACCTGGGAACTCATACATTTCTGTTCCTCTGCAAAAAGACAGATTGTCCTGGGGAGATGATGACTGAAAAACTTCTGTTCTTGGGTCCAATTTCAAACTGCCTGAAGCACCATTAGGGAGCTGCTTCTTATGGTTTCCCCAAAAAGCAGCGGGTAGTTTGGGGCCCCTACAGGCAAACTGGTCCTGCAGTACCACCAGCCTGGGACTTTCCTGTCCATCTGGAGAGGGGTTATAACTTCTGGGACATTCTCTTTTTTGAGAAGTCAATTCTACCTGTTTTGGCTGGATGTGCAGAGACTGGATTTGCTTAAAGCCAGCACCAGCCCAGAAAGAGAAAGATTAATCCTCAGGATTAGTCAAGTTTCAAAAATCAGGTGTGAAAAGTGGCTAAAGCAAAACACCTGACTGGGTGGAATGGTGATAATGGGGATGCTGCTTGGGAATTGCTGTGGGAAATACCATTTATATGGCACTACCAGCCTAGCTGGAGAAGACGGGCTGAACCTTGGGAAGAAACTTTTTTTCCCCCTAGGTTTTTTTCCTAGTCTTGCATTACTGAAGTAAAAGCTTTGCTACCTTCTTTTTAAGGGGACTTTAATCATTCAACATATTGCTCTGCATAATTTTGTAGTTATTTGTGCACACTCTCTCTCTTTCTCCTTCTCTTTAGGGCTTTTATCAAGAGGTGGCTACCCCAATATTAATGAAAATTGAAATGCAGTATCCAGAAAATGACGTTGAGGGATTAACCAAGAACAATTTCAAGCTCTTTTTTGAAGGATCTGAAATTATAGTATCTGGAAAAATTAGCAACGAGCTCAATCTTTTGCCAGTAGAAATTAAAGCTCAGTCAGTAAGTGTTTAGTTTAACAACTGTGAAAAACATATCTTCCTTCTGTCTTTTATGGTGCAATAGGAGACTTCAAGAAGTCTTTTGTGTGGAATACATATTCTCTACATTTGGGCATTTAACTGTTTTCCCATTTCAGCAAAATATTTGAGAATTCAAACCATTTTTCGCTCCTGAATTTGCTACAAAAAACCCCCTTGAAGTATAGCCACAAATAAGCAAACAGCCATTTTAATCCTTTCAAAACCATAATATTTTGGTCTTTCGGGCATTTTTAGGGAACTAGTTTATATTTTTAGAATGAAGAAGGAAATCTGAATTCTTCATCTCAAAAATGTTGAAATAGAACAATTTCGTTACCTCCTTTTTTTCAACATTGTTTCTAGTTCAGATATATATATCCAAAATACATGCTGCTTTGGTAGTTTGGACTTGCATTTTCCAAAGGGAAAAGACAAAATTGAAGCACAAAAAGGGCACTTTAGTACTGCAAGGAGGTTTTTTAAAGTGTAATAATGTGACTATAAAAGAAGTCTGGAAGTGTTCTTTTGATGGTCAGTTTTCTCCCACTTCAGCACGCTAGTGACTTGACTTTTAAAGAAGAAGCAGTGGTCAAAGAGAAGGGGCAGGTATTTCAAAATCAAAGTTACATCTTCGGGAATTTCATAGAGAGACTGTGGGCTTACTTAACCATTCAACAGCTTCTGGAAAAATCGTAAGTTATTTTAATGTTTTGTATTACAAATGTCTCACCTCTTGAAACACAAATTCCTTATCCACAAATTATATGACCAGAAAACACAAAGAAATGGAAATATTTCTGCAGGTAGTTTTAAAAACATAGAATACTGAAAAATACTATATTGCTGTATGAGGAACATGAGTGCCTTTCAGCTTATGATAGCGCTGTATCATTAGATGTGCATATAGGTGTATATATACATATGAAAACATAATATAAAATATTCTTCATTGTATTACTATGAAATAGATTTTAATTGCATGGATTGTGTTGAGCTGTTGTGACACATCCAGGAAGTCTGTAGATAAGTGAATGACAATAGGTTGTAAAGAGAACAATAATTATGTCCACAAGATATTTCATAGATCATATATCTATTATCATTATGTATTTGAACCATACCTAGGCTCCAGTGTTGCAAACAATTAAGCATCTCCATAATTTCAAGCATGTGAACAGTTTAGTTATCCCAATAAGACTAGTCATCCTTCAATAATAAAAATATCTGTTAAAACACAACTAATATGAAAAAGAATCTGAAGGTGACCAGCTCATAGTCTCTGTATCTTCTTTCTTCATCATTAATGTAAACTTTAGTATTTCAGCACAAGAGGAGGGCCGGAAAACCCTGGAGGGAAAAGCCTTAGAGCTGTCTCTGCAGTACAGCTTCGTTACACCCCTCACTTCCATGGTGGTCACCAAACCCACTGGCCAGCAGCAGACGGAGCTGGCGAACAAACCCACTGAAGCTGGTAAATGGGGCATCAAACAGCCCCCCTGGAATATGGCTGTGGTTACTGATGACTTGGTGTTGACCTTCAGGATATGTTCATTTTGTAGTGATGTGACATGGGAGTAAGCCACATTGGAGGCAGGAGTTCAGGGATTAGCTTCCTTTCAAAATAAAACACCTGGGATTTTTTTAAAAGGTGAAGTTGTGAAATGGACACAACTATTGAAATGGGACATAATTTGTTTAAATATTAACTAAAAGCAATTTAACAGTTGTTACTCAGCATTCCT